TATGGATACTTATAAAAATTTTTGTATAAAGTGCTACATAGTAAAATTAAAATTATGTTTCCTATTACTTTATTTTTTATAAATTTCTAGTAATAATATGAAACATGAATAATAAATAGGAGTAATAAATAATGTCAATATATTTATGAAATAACTTTTATAGGCTTTAGACTTGAATCACATCAACTCTCGGATGAATTATCTTTCATCTCAGCCTCGCTCCCAACAGCTTATAAATAAAGAAAATCGATTACTTTCTGCAATGGAAGATGTACAAATATATATTTTTTCAAATATTATTAGTTAATGAATAAATTGTTAAAAATTAAATTTATATTTTTTTATTTTCGTTAAAAAACTTTTCCTGCATTAAGTAAATATTCTCTGAATAGATTTTTAATTGAGTCTTTTTTATTTCTTACACACACACACGCAAACACGCATACACAATCACACATACACAAACACACACACATACACACACACCCATATATATTGCTTGTACAAACAAAGAAATTAAAATTTATTATTATTGTCACAATTCTCAAAGTAGTTGTAACCTTCTTTTGTTTCTAACTTACTTACCCAAAAAAATTGGAGTAGACTTTCACTGGACTGGATTTTAGAAGCTTTTTGTAACTAATGAGGATGTTTTTTTTTAATGCAACATTGAGCACTTATGTGACGTTTATATATGTTTTAGTGTACTAAAAGAAGATTCACAACACCTACAGTGTGCGATTTTGAGATGATGTGACAGATACTTTTAAAACCTTTTAGCCAGCAGCACATTACTGTTAAAGGTTGTAGAATTGCTTTATCTTTTAAGTTTCTTTTATCTAAGAAGTTCTTAGATGATGGATAGGTGGTTTCCACAGCTGTGTAACATTGAAGAGTTTAAAGGGTCTCTTAAGTTTGAAAACTATTAAAGTGAGCAGATACTAATATGTTTTCAGAACTTTAGATTGCTCAATGTATATAACTTTGTTTTCAGCAATAGAATTCTAGGCAGTTTGTCTGAAAGAACCTGATTCAGATATATTATATTCAATGAGAAGACTATTAAACCGTTCAGAGATATCAGATTCATTGAGAAGACTATTAAAAGTATAAATGAAAAAGTATGAGTTCTTCTTTTATTGCTGCTGATAATCATTCACAGCTTTATTCAAAAAATAATTAAATAATTCCGCCGTATTCATCTCTTAAGTTATAATTTTTATTTTGTTTATGACATCCACTGAAACTTGAAAAGATGTTTTATTGCTTTGTAGCATCTTGCTTGTTTTTAAGTATCATATTAGCTTTTTTTTAGTATCCTAACAGCTTTTTTTATTACTGCCTTCTCAACCCTGTAAATATGAATCATGAACCTTGGCAAACAAAGCAAACATATGGAGAAACAAGTTGAGGGTTGTCCTACCAAGGATGTGGTAGACTTTGAACTCTGTACTTTATACTTATAAAGCAATCTACCACTACACTATAAATATAAGCTATATTTGTAAAATATTGTTAGTTTTTCATCTTTATTTAAATTTTGTATTTCAGATTTTAATACAGTATCTACATGAAGTTAAACGAATAATTACAAAGGCTGACAAAAAGTAATTTTATTTCAATTTAATTTAATAAAATTTATTAAATTTTTTTTTTGGTTTAATTGTTTATATTTTTATTAATTATCATTTTAATACTATTTATTGCTGTATAAATATATTTCCAAATTGTTGTTAATATTGATATGATCATTATAGATATATTATTATTTTCTTAATTTAAACTTTATAATTTTTTTTTAGAGATCCAGAATTTGTTTTTTATGACGTTTTTGAATCTAAAATGAGTGTCTACAGGTAATACAATAATCTCAGTTTGCTCCCCTCAAAACCTTTATTTTCAAAGCAATTTATTTATTTTTAGGTTATGTTCTCATTGTAAATTTTGTTTTCATAACATTTAATAAATGTGTTTGTGAAATTTTATAACAATTATTTTAAATTAAATATAATACCAATTATAAAAAAAAAATCAAATATTTAATTAAAATTTAGGCTGCTTTTATATTTATAAAAATAGTAAATAATGTTTAATGAGTATTAAATTTACCTGTGTTGAAATATCTTTCCTTTTTTTTCTTAAATTGTGTACCTTAAAATAAAATTAATTAAAGTTTATATTGTACTTTGTTTATATTCACATCTAAAGTTTGTTTATATTCACATCTAAATTTTAAAGATATCTGTGAAAAAATAAAGTGCGAATATCACCAGAATTCCACTTTTGTTTATAAGGATTATTAACGTGAAAAATGATTTAAAATCTCAATCAGTTTTTTTTTAAAGTACTAAAAATTTTCACTTGTAGAATAATTTAATTAAATTAAAGTGAAATTATTATAAGTTGTTACTAACATGACCTGATTTGTTGCATTTTTTGTAAAAAAATTAAAGACCAGTTTTTTTACGGCTTATATTTAAACAATTGAGTTCTTGTTATGGTTATAAGTCGTATTTTTTTACCGTAAATTTCTTATTGTTTTTTTCATAAAAAAATTAAAATATTCTTTGAGTAATTACGATAATTAAAATAACATAGAATACTGAAATAGTTTTTCAGACTTTCAGCTATATCAAAATATATCAACGCTACTAAGTATAATCTTGCATGTTGCTAAAACTACCCACAAATCTCTATCAAATCCTCAAAAAGTACAGACTAGCTTCTTTTTTTTAAAAAAAAAAGGTCCTCAAAACGAAAATTTAACCAACTGAATGGTGTCATATAGCCGACTGCAACTAAATTCATAAAAAAACTGACTATAACTTGAAAATCACCTTCTTTGGGGAAGGGGGTGTAACACCCCCCCCCCCCCCCCCCTATAAAATCACCTCTGATCTCTATTGGAAATAAAAAGAAGATTTGTAGCTTTGTATTTGTTTTAATTGCAGTTATTAGGAATAAAAGAACAGATTTTTATTAAAAAAATTTATACCTAAACAATTTTTAGGAATGTGAAAATATTCTATTATTTATATTATTTGCGATACTATTTTATAATACTGTTATGATAATAGAGTATATACTCTATTATTAAACTACATTACATTACATGTTTCAAACCTAAAGCATTTAAAGTGCAACAGACTATGTTTCTGAGTCAATAGCTTTAATAAAATTATTAGTTCATAATCATATAAAGTTTATATTCAAGTAAATAAATCTTAATTATTAACTTGAATAGTTTCACAGTGGTGAAAATTACAAATTAACAAACTATAGTTTGTTAGACAAATTATGACATAAATTTTGTATCAAGTGATTGGGTGTTTCTTGTAGGCAAAATATATTTGCAAAAAGCAGCCCAATATAAAAGTGGTAAATAATTTTGTGAAGATTAAGAAAGTTTTGTTTTTATGATTGTAAACATTTAAATTTATTCAAATTTATTCTTATCTTGTGAAATTCTCACCTGAAGTTTGCATAACAGGTTTATGGTTATAATATCTGTTTTTACCGATAGCCATTCTACCAATGTTGATGCATTTTCATAGCTCTATAAAGCTTACACTGGAGATGAATAACTATTAATTTATCGTCCAGTTTCTAAAGGAGTATTAAAATCTTACTTATTATTAGATAATTTTATAAAAAATCTAAAAAAAAACTTAATGAAACAAATATATATTTTTCCTTCTTTTTTATTTGATATTTTCAGACTTTTTCAGAAGTTATTAAAAGAATAAATTGTTTATTACATTGCAAGGAATTTCATAAAGTTTATGAAGAAGATCAATTACTAAACCAAATCTAAAAAAAATCCAAAAAAAGTATCAGGTAACTTATCTTGGAAACAACAAAAAATGTCAACATTACATTGGCAATATTTGATGAAACAACTGCAGTTGCAAAATTGAGTTATTTTACTGAAAGAAATAATGCAGCAGAATTTTTCTTATTGTTTTATCAAGTTATTTATCACACTTAACTCAAAGTAGAAACTCAATACATCCAATCAACTCAGCAATGCTCCTGTAAAAGAGGGTAACAAACAAACTTTATAGTCACAATTAAAGCAACTCTATCTCTTAATAATGATTTGCTTGAAGAAGGCTGCATATTTGTTTTTGCAAAGTGATTCCTTGGAGCTACATTTTAGATAGTATAGATATTTGAATTGTGGTAAATTTGTTGTGAGTCTTTTAGACGTATGAAATAGTGAAACGATTTTGGAAGAAGTCTGCTCTATAATATTTTCTGGAAAGAAAATATCTATCAGATATTTGATAATCCTTATTTTAAAATATTATTGCTTTGTTGTCTACATAAACACTAGTAGTAGTAATAGTATATATTTGTTACAACAATATTAAAAACAATTGACAAAATACAATTGTATTTTTTCAGATTACAGCTAGTTTTTGTGAAGCTCATAGAGCAACTTCCATTAAGGAAAACTGTGACTGTAGTAACATTTGAGCCTATTTAGGCTTGCTTTGAAACTATCGGCAATCAGAGAATCGATTACTTTATCTGATAAGATGTTTCATGCATTGACGATGTGGTTGTTATAAAAGTTAAAAAGGGCTGGATCGTTGCTATATTTTTCACAGTGAAATCTCTCTGATTGCTCATGTGATTTGCTCATGTGATTTGCTCATGGTGAAATTGTGATAAAAGGATAGTGCCAGTTGACTATGTCAATGTTATTATTAATCTCATAAAATTTTGAATGAGGTCACCTTGTTTATAAAGGTCGGCTAGACAAGTTAGGCCAAGTTGTAAACACCTGGAGTTGTAGTATAGCTTTTTCAGTTTGCCTTGTATCTTTGTGGCTCTGCGGTGTATTAGCTTAATACTTTGTTCATCTTTCACCAAATGATGGATCCAAGCTAGAACTGTGAACTCAAGTAAAGGACAGACATAGGTGAAGTAGAGTGTTTCCATAAAGTAACATCGCGAGATTGGAAAGTGTGTTTTAGGATGCCTAGCATTTAATTTGTTTTTCATGAGGTAATGATGGATTGGGTTTCTACTTTTAGATCATTGGTAATTTGTATTTCCAAATCAAGTACAAGGGCCTGATTCCTCTATTGAGTACTCAAAGTGAGTTAGATTTTTTTGGCCAAAGTGCATGACCTTACATTTCCTTACATTTCGCGTAGATCTTACAACTGTTACAATAGCTTATTACATCTGACAGATCGTTAATAAAAATGAGAAATAAAATTGGACCAAAAACTAATCCTTGCAGAACCCCACTTGTCACAGGTAACCAATTCGGTTGGGTGTCACCAAGAATAACTCGTTTAGATCTGTTGAGTAAAAAAGCTTTTATCCAATTAAGAAGATTCTCTTCAATTCCATACATTTTTAGCTTACAAAGCATTCACTGATGTAGCACTTTGTCAAATGCTTTGGCAAAATCCACGATAGTTTTCTAAAATAATTTCCAGTCAAGTTGTTACAAGTCTTTGATACAAGTCCGTTGTATCAAGGAGATTCATAATGCATGTCATCAGCTTTCTAAAATTGGGCATAGAAGTTGTTGACACTATAGTAAGTTACATTGGCAAAAGAATAAAGTAAGGAATTAGATGGTAAACTTATGTAAAAAAAATTATTGCAATAATGAATACTTGAAAATTTTATACAAAGGAGAACCAATATATCTAAGTCGAGCTGTCTGATTTTATTTGTCATCTTTTTAGTATTCGAGATGATATTTTTCTTATTCTAATCAAACATTTTTTTTTTCAATTGAAAGTTTTGCAGAACAAATTTTAAAGATTTATTATAGCAGTGTTGATTTTACTAGTGAAAATTAAAAGTGGGGAATCAAATATAGTTTTCGTATTATTAAAAAATATTTTTATAATAATTAGGAAAAAGAATACAGATATTCAGTAAGGAAAAATCAATTAAAAGAATTTAAAAAAAGACAACTACCTAAAAAATATTACAAATAAAAAGATATCTCTTCATTCCTTTTAATTTTAATTATAATAAATACAAACCTTTGATTTTTATTTCAATGGAGAGTTTTAGGCAGTCTTAGTAACAGGTAAGGTTATTTTTAGTATCGTGTTGAAAAATAGCCAAATCTGAAAGCCTATTTCAGTATTTTATGTTATGTTAGAATAAACTGTCAATAAGCGGGCAATCAGTTAGTGAAAAATCCAGCACAAAATAATGTAAGTACTCAAAGAAAATCTAACTGTTATTTAACCATTTTAATAAAATAATTTACAGTGCACAAATCATAACTTAGTCCTTTTAAACGTAAGTGGCCTCTTTATTATTTACGGAAAATTCAACAAGTAAGGTCACGTAATTTAAGTAAATCATGTTACTAATAGTTAATTTTTATTTTACTAATTTTTTTTTTCCTTTCTTTCTACGTCATCGCAAATTTCAAGCTGTTTTGACGAATAGTTTGGGGGCGGTGCTCTATAGAGTGTTTGGTTTTACTCTACCTCAATATTATATTGAAAATATCATACCTGTTTAATTTGAAATAAGTTATTTTGTTTCTAGTGTAAAGCCAGCTTTGTTTGATTTAATACTTGCTATTGGTATTGCATTTTATCTGTGTATTGTTTACATCTTCGTAGAGGTATGTGTTGGTTGTTTTTTGTTTTGTTTTTAATACTATCAGGTTAAAAAAATTTATAATTAATAATATGTTAAATAATATGTTAAAAGAACTCTTTTTAGTAGAGTAAGCGTATGCTAATGAATTTTTTTAATGCTGTTTTGCTGTATTTTTATTATTATATTTTTATTTTTTTGGTTTTTAGAACTTTACTGTGCTGACTGCTCTGCTTCCAACTTTAAAAAAGCAAAAAACTTATTAGTTTGTGTTCACACCGTTTTAATGTAAATCGTTTTTTATTTTTTTATAGAATAAAATATAAAATCTAGTGAATAATTGTTTTTAAACAAGTACTGTTGGTGTAGTAAACATGTAAATTGGCGAATTTCATTGTTTACCAATGTTTGCAAATTTATTCGGCGCACGTATGCCAATTCGCAGTTATACCAGTTTTTGCAACGCTTTGCACTTATGTCAGTTCGCGCTTATTCATCCTCCCGATGAAAATTATTGATTGCAATTGTATTGAAGCGTTACCATCGTCGCTACCATATTTTATTGTATTACCATATCATTTCGTACCAATTTATGTCATATAAGTATATTTAGAAGATAAATAGTCATATTGTATTAATAATGTATTATCTTGTACTACGTATTGTGATGCATTTGTTCGGTTAGAAAAAAAACCAAAATAAGATAACCCTCTTTCGTATGATTTAGTAGAGATTATAGACCTTATAGGATAAAGATTAGAAGGGTTGTTTGAGTTTTCGTTGGTTTTTTTTAAATACCATATAAAATTATAATTCGGTGCATTAATGGAAGAGTAATTTTTTATATATTGTTTAACATTTCCGTTTGCTTCTATACTTAATTTTGAAATGATAGTATTTTCGTTATTAGTAACATAACGTAAATGTGTATTGGTGTCAAATAAATATTTTAAATTGAAATATTTTTGAATGCTAAAATTATTATTTTTGTTTTGATAATTTGAAAAAAAATCTGCAAAAGTCGATCTTCTGTTTAAACTTGTATTAAAAAGTTCTAATCGTCTCATTAAGAAATCGTCTTGATATGGACTCGGAAACGTTACACCATATAGTTTAGCATAACCAACAACTGAACACATATATTTCAAATGAACTGCGTCCATATCTTCAACTCTTAATAGGTCATAATTTTGAAATGTATCTCCTGGCAAAATAGCAAAATCGGTATACAAAATAATTTTTTTAGTTACTAGATAAAAAGAAATTTTTTGATTGGGATTAGATATCATGTCGTTTTGAATATCTGTCATTATTTGTTTTATAGAAGGATTCATTTTCATTCTTGTTCCGTAACTGTTTTCTGTTAACGAAATGTTTTCGTCTATACGTATTAAATTAGTTGGAACGTCCATAGATGACAAATGCATAATAGTATTATTTAAAAAAAAAGGTTTATCAAGATCGTTAGTAGATAAGGGTAAACTAAAATCGTTCAAAACGTTATGATGAACGTTTTCTAGCTCTTTACTTTTAATTTTGCCAAAAAAATACGTACTACAATCATATTTATTTAAATCTAAAACATCATTAAATACTAAATTGTTCATTTTTTAACAGTTTTTTTTTTAAAAAGGTTTTTGCAAAGATTTCTTCAAAGGTTTATAAAAAGTGCCTACGTATTCGTTAAAATTTTTAAAATAAATGTTTTTATCTTCTTCGTTAATAGGTAACAAATCTTCTCTCTTAAACTTTTACGTTGTATTTAAATCGTCTACTTGTCCTACTTTGTAAATATGAACCGGTAAATAACCTTGCACTGAAGGGTTTGTGCGTTTGCTGACTTTCATGATGATGACGGTTTTGTCGTGTCCCAATACGGACGGTTTCGTGTACTCGATTTGCTAAAAGTGCCTTTAGCATCTTTTTTGTATTTTCTCAAATAACTTTCTGTTCCAACAGATAAGGGTTTTAATATTTTTAATTTTTGATTTTTGTGTTCTTTTTTTACGCGATGCAACATGTTAGATGTAAAGTCATGTTTGCGGTTTTTGTTGCTTACGCATTGATCAATCATACGCAGTGCTTTACCTTTATTGTCATTGGCATCCAATTCTTCGGGACTTATACCGCTCGATGTTTTTTCTTTCTCGTTTAGTTTTTGTTCAATTTCTTCAATGTAATAACTCCAATTATTTTTTTTAATTGACCTTTATCTCTTAATTTTTGATATAACAGATTTAAACGTCCAATGACCGAGTCAGCTAAATAGGCCTTTCCGTAATTTTTAGAATGAAAGTGTTGCACGTTTTCGGCTTCGCACCATTCTTTCATTTTTGAATTAAAAAATTCTGTACCTTCGTCTGTTTGCAAATATATAAAGCTTTTGTCGTCTCGTCGTAAATGTGTCTAAAACTGCTGACCATTTTTTCTGCAGTCTTTTTTTTCATTACTCTCAAATACACTTTGCCCGAAACACCGTCAACAACGACTAAACAATAATCGGGACGATAACCAGGATTAAAATTAAAACTCTCCATGTCTGCCAAATCGGCTTGAAAATACTGATGAGGTTTTTCGTAAGAAAACCGATGCGTTTCGTAAACGTATGGTTTTCTCGACGCTTGATTTTTAACGTTTGCGTTAGCGGTTTTTTTAAAAGAAGAGTTTGATGTGACCAAGCAGTAATCATACCGTCCCATTTAGCAAAAACCGAATTTTTTAAAATTGTTTTAAGTTTTTCATAAATTTAAATCGCTGACATTTTTTTTCAAAGTGTTAAATTATGACATTATTTTTTTAAGTTTTGACAAGTTGGTCAAACCAAATAAACGACTAGATAAATCGTCAAGTTGAATTTTGATAAGACGATCTAATTTATCTCTTAACGCGTTTTCCATTTTTTTAAAATTTCTTTACCTTTTTTCCTTGTCGGATATTTTTTTCCTATCAAACGTTTAGGTTTTATATCGGTAATTGGTGTAGTTTCAGTAGGTAAAGCGGTAGCACCGACAGGTTTTTCTTCTTCTTTATATAACCAAGAATTTTCTTTCGGAGTAGAATCTAACCAAGGTTTTTCTTTAGGAGTAGATTGAGACAACAGTGTATCGTCTAAAGATTTGGGGGTAAGTAACACAGATTTTTTTGAAAAAAATGATTTTTTCACAGAAGAAAAGTTGATATCAATTTTTGAATGCAAAAACAAATAGTTTGCCTTTAATGAAGTGACAGATTTTAAAGTTTATGCAAATTTTTTAATTTCATTAGAATTAAAAGACTGAATTTCAAAACATTTTTTATATGACGGTAAAAGAGTACCCAATCGAAAGAGTTGAGAACTGTATAGAGAACCTATTATCATCATCATTTCGATGATTGTTTTTTGTTTAATATTGATTTCTGTATTATAAAATTGATTCGAGTTTGATTTAAAAAATCTTGCAATTGATTTAAAAAATCTTGCATGTTCGCTTGTATGCAAGGGGTTACTACGTTGTCTTGTAATTGTACGACATCGTCTACATCTCTACATGGTAAAGAAGGTGGATTCGAAAAAAACGTTTTAAATGTAAGATATAACATGTGTTCACCGATTGATGTGCTTTGCATTGCGTTTTCATTGTAATTGTTAATCATCAAATTATAAATATTTTTGCCAAGCATGTAAACGCTGTTAGATTTGATATAAATGATTAAATTTGTTTTGTTCTGTGTATTGTATTAATCACGAGTTTACAACGTTTTTTGTTTCTGATAAAAGATCAAAAGCGATATTGCCTGAAAAACTTTTGTCTACTAAAGAATCGCTTTCAAAAAAGGCTGAAGTCATTACAGTGTAATGACGACTTGAAAAGGTTTCTTGATATGCGCTTTCTGCTGTCAACTTATTTTCGTTTCTAAAAGGTATGTTATACTTTTTTAAATAATTCCACAATTTAGCAAAAGTAAGATGTTTAATTTGATAAAAATCTGCAACCATTCTTAAATTGTCTACGCTTTGAGGCGAGGCAAGTAAAGTTTAAAATTCGTTAGCGTAATATAAGAAAATTGTTTAGGATCTTTTATGATTTTGTAAGAAGATGCGTTAACGTTGTTAATAACGCTAGCTAAATATTCTTCAACGTCGACTACGTTGTTTAAAAAATGAATATATATTTTTAAATTGTTTAATGTCGCTTCTTCGCCTCTAGGTTTATAAACACGTTAAGAAATGCGATTCGATCCAAACGTGTGATTAACTTGACTGTTACACATGTCTAATAAATTACGAGCTAATTTGGCCATATTTGATCTAGCTAAACTTGTCATGAGTTTAGATACTTCTGCTTCGTTAGGTTTTTCGTAAAAAGTTAAAAATCGATTAAGAGGAGTTAAAAGGTAAACTTTTTTGTTAGTCAGTTGAACGGTATTTAAAGTAGTTTTTTGTGACAAGTTATTTAAACTTGCTTGTACAGAACAAGGAGGCATGGGATTAAGAGAACTGTTTTTTTCTTGTGGAACATATTTTTTAATATTTCTCATGGTTCTAAAAGTTTCGCTAATAGTTCTTTGATCGACTTGAGCGTTAAATTTGTTGTATGTGTTTTGACCGATCAAGTTGCTAAAAGCGTAAGCGTCACCTCCTACGTTTAGATAACTTTTCTATTTATCTTGATCGTTAATTAGTCACCGTTCAGCTGTGTTTCGATAGGTAATAAATTATTTAATTCTTGTTGAAAGCGCAATTTGCCTTCAATTGGCGCTTCTGCATTTATCGGATCAGCATAGATAAGGGAAGAGGGTAAATCGTATCTTTCGATGAAATGAGAAATGTCAGATTTCATTATTGTTTCTGGCATGCCAGAATTTTGTGGAGCAGATTCTGTTTCTTTTTCTTCAGTTTCTTTTTCCATTTCCATTCTAGTTTTTTTGTAAACGTCAGTGTTATAAGCATTTTGCACCAAAACCTTTCGCAAAGCAAGCAAAGGGGAATAAGAAAAATCGTACGGTTTATATCTATTCATATTTCAAAATAACACAAATCTTTTTGAGAAAACAATTCTTTTTGACAATAATCAATATCAAATTGTTGTCTTAACAAGTCAATAACGGTTTTTGTAAGTTGTAACGTGTCAAATGAGATTAATTTATTAGAGTAATAATTTATAATTTCGTGATAAAGTTTAAAACGAGTAGAGTTGAAATATTCTTTTAAAACGTCGTAATTATTGTAAACGAAATCCGATATGGTTTTGTTTTTGTCTTTCATTTTTTCTTTTTTTAAAATGACTTTTCCGTTTTCGTTAATTTGGGATAAGGATATAAATTTTCTTTAACAAACAATTTAATTTCTAAACATAC